TTACAGCCCCAGGGCGAGTACCCTCTTTTCAGTCTCTCAAAAGCTGGGACAGGATGGAAAAGGAAAAGGCCACTGGGCAACAGCAAAGGAGGCCCACTCCCCCTTAATCTGCTTGTGTTCCAAGTTCTGGGCTCCAGGGCCATGACTGAGCCACAGCGCCCAGCTTGGGCCACAGTGATGTCAAGGTGTGTTGTTAAGAGGCTTATTCCCCCCACCCCAGTTTCCATTAGCTCTTCCATTTTTTGAGGTGCTTATCTTTTAAAAAGAATTATATAAATATATTTCAGGCTACAACCCACACATGTGCACACACCCTCTGCAACCAGGTTCCACCCCGTCAGCCCTGGCTTCCATGACTTCTGCCTGTAGACTTTTCCTGGGAGGGCCTCTGCAGTCCTCGGCCCAGCTGCTTCTCTTGGCTTAACTAGGTGTTCACCTAAGTCAAATTTTCTGTCAAAACATACATAGTCTCTTCTGCTATCACCCATGTCAGGCAGAGTTTGAACCATGAACTCAGGCAATGCTGCAGCCCCCCAGTCACCCCGGTCTCCTGTGCCTTCTAACCTCTATTCTTGGTTCTCAAAGGACTTAGATGGCCACCCCAGACCCTGCTTTTCTTGGAGACCACTGAAGCTTTTCCCAGCGTCTGGCCCCACCATCAGAGAGCCTGACCCAGGGCCTGTTCTTTTGGATTCCATCTCCCACTACTGGAGTTGTTCCTTCTGGGGTCACCTTTCCTTCCCAGAGGACACCAAAGCAGAGCTCCAATGAGCAGACCCCACTGTAGGGGGTAGGGGTGGGGGTAGCAGGAGAAGTATTCTTCTTTTGGGGATAGAGTACAGTGCCAGGAATATGGGATTATATTTCCCTCCTACTTGGGACTCCCTGTTCTACCCTTCTCTGGCTCTACCCGCTGCCTGTGTACATAAGTGCCAGGCTTGGCAGTCTCCTTCCTTTATCTGCCCCCTGTCTAGGGGGCTCATCCAAAGTCCCATCTCCATCTCCCCTGGTTGTTCAGACTCTTAGTTTAAGGGGAGAGTTCAACACTGCCTCTGGGCAAAAGGCCTCTTGAAAGTCAAGATCAGAATATTCTTTCCTAGGCCACATAGCAAGGGCCCTTAGGGTGAGCAGAGGGCGGACCTCATTATGTTTGGAGTGCAGATGTTGCCTCCCAGGGCCCCTTCACTCTCTCCTCCTTCCTGGGAGCTACTCTGGCATTTGGGTTGGAAGAATGGTGCTCAGAGTCTCACTTTACCCAGAAACCAATTCCTTACAGGTTTTGAAGAAGGCTTCCACCTCTTCTCCCCCACCTCTTCTTCCATCACCACCACCACCACCACCACTGCTGAGAAACCATGGGAAAACCCCAACAAATGGGCCCACACCAGTCTGCTGCTCAGCCTCCTACTAGACAGAATTTGCTCTCCCCCATCTCCGCTTTCTCATTCATCCACAGAAGCCCAACACTGGGGGCAGGGGTTGAGGGAAGATTGGAGGAAGATGGACACTCTCTCCATAAGCATGTTGCCTGTCTTTCCTAACATTAGAAAGTAACTGAAGCTGTCTTCCTCAATGCTTCTTTTCTTTCCTCCTTTTCTCTAAGCATAGCTAGTTAGTTTCCTGTTATCATCTAAATATACACAGTAGGCTTTGTAATTTTATTCTTCTTATGTAAGCCAGTGAAGACTGCAAGCAAAAGTCCCAGTCACCATCCTTCATCACCATTCGTTCAAAAAAATATCTACCGGGCTGCGATCAGGTGCTAGACATTGTTTCAAACACCACCTCCTCAGCCTGGTCTTCTCCTTACCCTTCCCCCACAAAAAGCTCATCACAATTGCCTAGAATGTCATTCATCCTTTAATTCTGTTTTATTAACTTAAGGAAAAATAAAGCTTTTCTTATCCCCTCAAACTTTCAAAAAAAAATTTACAGTGAATTAACAGGGGCTATTTTGAAACTGCTCACCTAGTGCTAATAGAATCAGAAAACATTTTTTAAAGGGGTTGATCTTTACTCAAAATATTTTAAAAACAGATGCTACCAACTGTAGAGGAAAAAGATCCTCCTAAGTTGCTAGTGGGGGTGGGAAAGGAGGAGAAATAGACACCATACAGTCGGGGCTAATAGCCCTCTGCTTTCTACCTGGTGAAAGTGAATCAGGAAATGGGTTTAGAAATGCATGGAGAATGGGTGGAAATTAGGATGCAAAGAGATCTTTGTAGAGGGGAATCCCTTTCATGGGCTTGATGGGACTTGCTGATGAGAACTTTTGCAACTGAATTTGATTTAGAAATCATATATATGTGCGTGCTCTGCAAATCTACACAGAACAGCCATTCTTTTAATCGGAATGGTCAAAATCACACAGGTTTTCACACTGTTTGGTGGCAGTTCTGGCAGGCTGTGGAAGGATGCTGGGGGTCAGTTCTCTTTTTATTTACTCTCCTTGGTGGGAGCTGGGGGCATCTTTCCCACACCCACCTCCTCCAAGCATAGAGTGTCACATTCTCGGTGCAGCAGCGTGCAGGAGCAAGCTCCTCTTCTTGGCTTTCTCAGCAGGAGAGCATGCTGCCTCCTTCTTTCTTAGGCTCTCCCTTGGGGCGGCGGAGTGGTAGTGTGAGGTTGGAGGGGCAAGGGGGGAGGAGGATAGGATCCCACCCGGGTTTGGACCCCCAAGCCCGAGCCCTGTGGTTGGGGGCACTGTGGGAGTGGGGACATCTGACTTCCTGGGCTTGAGTTCCTTGAGAGTCTCATTTGCTTCCTCACACCCTGTCCCCTTCACACCATGGCTGTTTTATTGTTTTATAACCTTTAGAGTTTCAGTTGCCAAAGATTCCGATGGGGCTATTCTCCACTTTCTCACTTTACCAAACCTGAAGTCTTGCTGTTTTAAGCAGTTTGGTCACTTGCAAAGGCTTCCCTTCCAGATCTAAGCAAATTATAGAAACCTCTAGGCATGTGGCTACCTTCAACTTTCACTGAGCCCATTCACAACAATACAGAGCCAAGTGTTAACTCCAACTGCCACCCCCACCCCACCCCTAAACCCACCCAACCACTCCCTAACCACCCCTTTCTTATTAAAGCTAGAACAAAATCTCAAATAACTTCTGCTATAAGCAAGAAAGAAGTGGCCTTTGACTTTCCTTTTTATATACCACATCTAGAGCTAGAAAATGATTGAAATAAAGGAGTTGATGGTACTCACAGCGAATGCAGCCAAAGAATCATAAGACATGCCCACCAACCAGCCTTTTCCAAATAACACTATCTCCAAATTTAAACAGATGTTCCTGAAAAGATGCTATTTGAAAAGCCCAGGGTATTGATATGAATATGACCCCCCTTGCATCCTAGATATTTGGAACTATTTAAATGTGAGGGAACCATTGCAGTGAACCTTTATTTAGTGAATAAAAGTTTAAAGCCGAAGGTTATTTATGGTTCTGCAGAGATGGGACCTGAGTGGCTATTTACGAGCACGTGATTCCAATAAACTTTGTTTTATGGCTTGAGAGTTGACAAGCCAAAATATAATTCCCACCATAAATTAGGTTAAGAGCATACAAGTGCAGATGCTTGGTTCCTGGATCAGCAATAGGAAAGTGAGAGGCTCCAGCTAGCGCCGAGCTCAGAAGGAGACAGTTCTGCTCCCAGCTCCCCTGCCCACTAGGAGAGAAAATCAGTAAGTCACTTATTACTTTTTCCAGGACTTTCTCCAGGGGTGAGGGATTTCTCTGCCCCATCTTTTCCATCTGGTAAGGGAGAAGTCCCGTGGAAATTAATTTTAATTTTAGCCTAAACCTAAATCAACAAATAGAATGGGAATTCCGGTTTTCTCCCCTCCCTTCTGGCCATAGAAAGTTAGGAACTGAGGGCTCCTACCTCACTAGAGGAAATTACTGACTCTCTCCTGCCTATAAAGGAGCATCTGCTTCAGAAGTGGAATAAAATCGGTAGTCTGGGGGGAGAGAGAAAGGATAAGGGTGGAGATGGCTCTGCCTTTGAGATTTCTCAGAGAGAAGACTGCCATCCCAGAATAAAACTAGAGGAGACTAACAACTTAAGGCTGGACACCAGCCCCTGTGAGGACCACTGCTTTGTAAGATTTCTTTATGTGTTTTCCAGCAAAAATGCTGACTAAATGATGTCATATCCATAGAGCTGGATAACAATCTAAAGCATTGTCATTTACCTTTAAGCCTATCGATTTTCCTCTTCCTTGGTTCTCATTTGGGTCCTCATTTCCCTTAGAAATTGCTCTTTGTTTTGAATTAGAGCACAAGTGGGAAGGCAAGTCCCAGCCATGCCTGGTCCTTCTATGGGAAGGAGAAAACATTTCTGGGGGGCGCTAAATGGGGCTGGGGAATTTGAAACCAATCTGAAACTGGAAAAGGGGGCTGAATTGCTCCCAGCGCGAGACAGACGAGGGAGCTGGGGCAGGGGACAGATGCAGCAGCTGCCCCATCCCCAGTGAACCTGCGCCCACCCCGCTGACTGTGCAGAAGGAAAAACACAAAGGCCCGTTTTCTCCTCGCTTCCCGTTTTCCCACTGGGGAAACCCTGTTATAGACAGCCTGAGTCGGGTCAAGCAACCAGTAAGGTTTTGCCCAAGGGCTGCATGGAGTTGGGGAGGTGATGGGGACCATACTCTCCTACCCCGTGGGTCTGCCCTTGAGCACTGCAGTCTCCCGCTCCGCGGAGAACTTGGCGCAGTTCCCGGGTGGGGGCGGGCACCCGAAGCAGGGAGGTCTGGGTATTGGTGGGGTGTCTGGGCCTTGTCATTTTTCTGTGTTATCATCTATCTCTGCTTTATTGTCCTGTGGAATTTAAGTGACCCCCGTTTTCATTGCAACAGGTTCAGGACCCTGAGACACCGCGGCTGTAAGTACCTTCCCGTTTCTTCCGAATAGCGAAGGGGCGGTATTGATAACTGGGGAGCTGGGGGGCGAAGGGCCGCGCCAGTGGAATGGGCGGGTGGAAGAGCGGCCCTTCCTCCCCGGCTATGCGAGGGGAGCTCGATTTGGAGGTGGAGGCTCTAAGTTGGACTCCTGGAAAGATTTTCTGGGGCCTAGTTTTACAGTCACCTAACTAAGGGAACGCGCTGCGGGCTCTCGCCCTTGTCTCCGTGGGCCTCTCTGGACACTCCCGGCCTTCCCAGGCCGCCCTAGCTCGCACAGGTGCAGCTCCGCCGCGGGGAACGCGGCTGAGAAGAGCTTGCAACTAATTAGCAGCCCGCCCTATTAACCAGTCGCGGCGAGCATCGCCCTCTGCTCGAACCAACCTGCTGAACACCACAGCAGTGCGATCCCCCTCCGCAGCCCAGCCCAGCTCAACCCTGTCCAGCCTGGCCCAACCTTCTCTTGTTCTTCATAAAAAGAAGAAAGAAAAAACTTAACCCACTATGGCTGCGGGCGTGTTGAGTTGGCCGGCTTCCGGGAAGGGCTGCGAATTCTGAGCTTCACGTGGAAGTCCCTCCTCGCCCCTCCCCCGGCCCCAGCCCTAGCCCCAGCGGTTTGGGCTCCAGGCTGGGGACACGGGGTGAGCAAGGAGGGAGGGATATGGCCTTTCTCGTTCACCTCTGAGTCTCTGTAACTGCAGTTCAAGAATTTCTGCACTGGAGCGGCTGGCGTTGAGGGCAAACATGGGGGAGGGGGAGTGTTGGGGGGTGCGGTGGGCACAGAGATTCTTGGGTTCCTAGGTTGGGAAGTTTGGGTCTTTCTGCGTTGCATGTGCTGCAAAAGACCGGAACATTTCTGAGGAAGCCTGTGAAATCTCCAGAAAGACTATCTCATTAAGATGATGGTGGTGGGGAAAAAAATCAAGGAAAAACAGTGGCGCCTCCCTGACTGTAAAACGGAGATTTTATTTCAATGAGAGATGGAATGTGCGAAGGTGTTGGGAACCAGGCACCCTCCCTCTCTGGTAGGATGTCCTCTTTCTAGGGTTGCAGAAGATGGGCTTGGCTCTGGACCAGGTTTCTCCCCTCTAGGCTGGGCAGCCTTATGGACCCACTGGGGGCTGCACCCACCCCAAGAACTGGAGATTCTGCCCAGTACTAGTTCCCCTCTAGGAATCAGGCTGGCTTAAGTGAAAGGGGCTCTGGGCTCCAGGCTGGAAAATCTGGTGCCCCAGGACCCCCTGGTCTTGCACCCTTCCTGTGCGCTGTGCCCTGGCTCTGGGTGCTTAGCTCTGTGGATGCTCCTCTCTTGCAAACCCACATTCAGCACCCTGTAGCTGAACACAGCACAAAAAGCCTGAGAGATCAAAAGCATTTGTATGGGCAGTTGAGTGGAGAGGTGAATATTTAACGCTTTTGTTCATCAATAACTTGTTGGCTTTGACCTGTCTGAACAAGTCGAGCAATAAGGTGAAATGCAGGTCACAGCGTCTAACAAATATGAAAATGTGTACCCTCACCGGGATCCCCACCTGGCCCAGCAGGCTCTCCCAATTTGTCTGGATAAAGCCTAGGCCCAAGTCCCCAGAAAGGCGGGTGTGTGGAAGCGTTTGTCATTAGAAGTTGGGGGGAACTCCCCTGGGACAAGGGAATTGGGTGTGGGGCTGCCTCTTGTTTGAATTGGCACCCAGAAAATCCCTACAAAATACCTAAAACACTAGAACCAAAGGGAGGGGTTGTGCAGAGAGTGTGCAAAGGAAAGGGTAGAAGAAGCCAGCCAATTTTTTCAGGCTGCGGGGGTGGAGGGAAGTCACCCTGCTCCACCCCACCAGGCCCAGCTTGAGGCTTAAAGCTATTTTTTGAATCATGAGGGTAAAGTCAAAACAAACAAACAAAATTTTAAACACCGCAAGCCTTTGTCAGGGATCCAAAAGCGCCACTAGAGCCTGGGCATCCCTCTGCCCCTGAAATCCATCGGAGCCCTCAGTGCTCTTAGCGCCCCAAAGAACGGTGAGCCCCAGACTGCACTGAGGCGCTGGGGCTGGCGCAATTCGTGAACTTTTGTAGTCTGTGTGCTGCTGTCGGCAAAGCGAAAATAATGAAACTTTGTGATATGTTTGTAAATGATTTCGAATGACCCCTCGCCCTGCCCTTCACCATTAGTGCTCCAACCCCAGCCCAGGGCAGCTCGGTGCCTGCAAGCAGCTTCTGCCTTGGGGTCTGCAGCAGCAGCCGGACTGAGAGGCCAGCTGGGCTCAGAGCCCAGGAAGGTAAAATGTGCGACTTCTTGGAGAACTAGCTTTGTCACCCAACCTGGCTTGCCCTAGCACTGGAAAAAGAATGGGCAGAGGATAGTCCCTCTTGCCTCTTTTTCTTCTGCCACTGAGGGCATTTGCTTCTTTCTGGAAAATACCACTTGATAAGGGAGTGGGGGTTATGTGGATCTGTAGAGGGGGTAATAAAGCCGCCATTTCTGGGATGGATTATTTTTCTTCTGTTCTTTTCTTTCTTGCTTAAGAAGACTGTCCTGACTCCTTGGCTGCTTGCTAACCCTGGTACAAAGATGGGGAACTCGTTGCTGCAAATTGCCACCAAGTGCTGCAGGCTACCTGAATCATCTCTGAAAGTGAGGGTGGCTGCGTCGGGCTGGTGGCGGCTCCGAGGAAGAGGCTGGGGCTGGCAACGGTCTGGGTACTTGTTCTGGGTGGAACCTGGAGGTAGTAACGTTGTCTATATATACCCTGTAGAACCGAATTTGTGTGGTATCCACATAGTCACAGATTCGATTCTAGGGGAATATATGGTCGATGCAAAAACTTCACTTTTCTCCGAAATAGCCAGAGTCAGAAGTGGTGTCCAGAGGCAGCATCGGGTCAGTCGCCTCTTTCTGTTTTATTACGTTGGACTCCAGGAGGATCGACTGAGCCCAGTGATATAGAGCAGCCTTTTACTGGAGAAGCCCCTCATCTGCAAACAGAAGCCTCTGTGAAAACCCCTAATTGGTTGCATGAATGAAGGGCCAAAGGGTTAGGTTTGGGGGGACTGGGGAGTGAGGTGGGAGTCCAGATAGCCCCAGCCCCAGCTCTGCCTTCCAGGGACATAGGGTTGGAGGGTGCCCAATGGAGGGGGCTCACTGGTCTGTTCCTGCCATGCGGGAAGATGGGGAGCTGGGAAGGAGGAATGTTGGGTCCTTTTGGGTCATGTGGGGGTGCCCCCGCCACCTTCCTAGCCCATCCTTCAGCTGCCTGGCAGGAGCATCACGGGCTTCTTGTCATACCCGCAAGGCTCCGGCTTTGGCTAGAAACACTCCGGCCTGGGCACTTGCAGAAAGCTGGGTGGTTACTCATTGCCTAATTTGATTCAGGCCAGCCAGATTGTGGTAACTTTTGGGTGACCCTGATGGAGACAAAGCCAGAATTCGGCCTTTGTATAGCAGAGTCCCCATTCCCGCGGGCTGGGCAGGCTGGGCAGGCTAGGCAGGCGGGAGCCCTGCCTAGCCTGCGGTTCTCTATCCAACTCAGAAGCCACCTCACCCACCCACCTTTTGGTACCACGAACCCTGACAGATATGGAGATTCATTCCCCCTTGATCTGTGCCCATACTGGGGGGATATTTTCAGGCGAGGTGAGTGGAGAGGGCACTGGAGGTTAGCAAAGTCAGTGGCAGACAAAAGCTGGGATTGCCTGTGGGGAATGAGGGTGCTGGGATTAGAACCACATTAACATCTGGTGTGGGCCCTCAAATGTGCCACGGAGAGTCACTTGATTACACGTATGTTATTTAGTTAAATTTGTGAAAATTATGAGATGCTTACCAACCCGGTGATAAACTCACTCCCTCGCTATTGGCTGGCCTGGTCACATGGCCGCCAACTTTATTCAGTTGACAGCAAGTAGGAGGGCCCTATGGAAGGAGAAAAAAGACAACACGAGAAAAATTAGTATTTTCTACCTTCTGAAATTAATGGCCATGAGTTCGTATATGGTGAACTCCAAGTATGTGGACCCCAAGTTCCCTCCGTGTGAGGAATATTTGCAGGGCGGCTACCTAGGGGAGCAGGGAGCCGACTACTACGGCGGCGGCGCTCAGGGGGCCGACTTCCAGCCCCCGGGGCTCTACCCACGGCCCGACTTC